TGAAGCTAACACCTGTAGTTAGGTTTATGTATACTACAATTACGAGTAGTAAAAATGTGACTTAGACCACATACCAGTGTCAGGAACATTGTTTTGTTGCAAAGCTTCACAGTATGTGTGTGTGTATATATATATATATAGATAGATAGATAGACATATAACTACATAATAATAGTAATACAATTAATGGAGATACTTGTAACCATAGGATTTGATTATTACAAAGGTAATATTTATACCTTTGTAATATATATTTTTGTTTTGTTTTTATGAAAATTAGTTTCTTACATTTAGGCCTAGACAGAGTTGTATTACACATATTTTTGGTTTGTTTTTTGTTGAACATAAAACCAAGAAGCAGCATTTCTTTCTTTAATATACAGCTTAAATTTATTTGTTCTTTATTTGATTTCATGACAAATATTTATATTTAAAATGTTTGTTTTAAAGTTTATAAAAAAGATAATAATCGGCTTAAAACTAAGTTGAATAGAATATATGCAATTTAGAAAATTTAGCTTAAGTTTTCTTGTTTATAAAGGTGAGCTGAGACTATTTTGGGAGCTGAGGATTAAGTAGTGCTGCTGGACGATTGTGGGAGCGACCAGACCTTTCCCATAATGAGTTATTGTGTAGAGACACGAGTTTTGTTGTACCATATGAAACTATGGAAACAAATGTTGTGCTCGTGCTGTTTTGTGCGTCACAGTAGTTGAAAAAATGTATTAGTCGTATGTATCGTTGTTATCCATTATCTGAAACAACACTCGCGTACACTACTGTCGTGAGACATAAGTTCGTGTATGTAAACGTAAGCAATATCAAGGCCCCCCAGAAGTATGTCTGTGGACTTACAACGCTAGAAACCGGGTTTCGATACCCGTGGTGGGCAGAGCACAGATAGCCATTGTGTAGCTTTGTGCATAAATTCAAATAAAAAAACGAAACCAGCAATATCAAGTAAAATCAACAGTAGTTGTTTAGAGTTTGCAGAGTCGTATATGCATAGTATTCGTAACTTAATAGGCATAGCGCGGTCCAATGGGAGCGTGCCCGACTGTGGAACTGAGGTTCCATGGTTCGTGCCCCTTTATCACACACGCACGCACACACAAGCTAATAATAACAATCACGCTCCGTGGGTTCATGAACTGGTTTGTTGAGTTTGACCGCTAGCCATTCAAACACTAGATGACCATCTCTCTACAAGGCACCTGCCCATGCAGTCATGACTTTTCTCATTGAGCCACCCGCTGCTATTATCGGTGTTGATGTCTGCTCTATATCAGTTCCATGATTTTGGACGTGTTCAGCAATCCTGATCTTTCCCTGTACCATTATTCGTTGTGTTTAACTTAATGCCACCTGCCTGGACTTACTTCATACTTTTGATTTTTTCCAGTGGAGCTAACCAGGACCTCAGAGAGTCATATGGACCCTGTGGAAGAATTGACCCCCCAAATGTTTTGGAATGATGCTGAGTACACACATTAGTGTTTGAAGGTGCAGTTTATATTTGCTTGAATGTTCCATACTGATTTGATACATTCTGTACACATTTCTGTCGCTTGTATGAACTCCTTGGTGTGTAGTGGCCCCAGGGAAATATTCCTGGCCTCACCACTTTCTTGATGGGCCTGAACCTGAGACCTTCGTGACAATCTCTAATTTATTCAAGTGCTGAAATAGCAAACGAGATATGGTATAGGTTGCTCTGAGTAGCGCATGGCTGGTTAGAATCCTTTGTCTTGTAGTAATGCTGTTCAAACCAAGAGTGCAGGGTGTCACAGAGTGTTGGTTTGGTTTCTCCTTTTCATTGCGGGAAAGCGTTGTTTGTCTTTGGTAATTGTTGTTCCTTCGGTTTTTAAAATATCACCTATGAATGAAAAATATTAGAAGAAAGCTAGAGAGGGCAGTTTTTGTTCGTCTGTTAAGTTATTCTTGTATGAAGCTTTGTTAAAAATTTTATACCGTAAATGTTAATAATTGCTACATCCTTACGTCGCAAATCCATTGATAAAGATAATGTGATTTATTTGGTGTCCCCGGTGGTTTAGCTGTAAGTTTGACGTCTTGTAACACTAAAATTGAACCCTTTTTATTATATTTTTTCTCTTCAGTTATCCGAAAGTAACCCATACAGTATCTGTTGATTAACAGTGCAGTAACTCGGGAAGTGTTTGGAACTTCGCAGTGTTGTGTTCAATGATATGTCAAGTGATATTATTGCACATGTTATTCATAGTCCAGTAAATCCAATAAACCCCAAAGTGTGTAGTGCAAACTTGACAAGTCCGTTCACGTGTTGATAGAATTATTATAAATACAAAAATTAAGATGTACAACAAAAATCTTTCTTTATAAAAAAAAAAAAAAAAAATGGACGTTTTCGAAGATTCAACGTACCTTTTATTTTACGGATA